GAAAGGCAACCTAATGATGTTCTTACGATTGATTCCGACCGGATCCTTTTCAGTAATAATTTTGGAATACAGGAAATTCATCTATACGATTTTATTGGGAATTGTGCAACTGTTTTGGAAAAATGTGTGGAGGATTTGCGAAAGGAAGGAGTGACAACTATTCCTGTACCGGATTATGTAGGACAGGATGATGAACAACGATTAGAAACATTATTACATTTAACGCAACAACCCTCCTTCCATAGGCGAAAAACATTACATAGAATAGAGACCTTTTATTATTTAGGGGAAGTTCTAACTCTACGAGGATGGCGGAAGAAGGATGCCCGGCGAATAAGAGAGTTATTCAGCACCAATAAAGGCGCTAGTGAATTTAAGAAGACGGCTAAGCGTGTATACGAATTGTTCCAGGCGAGAGGATTGGCTAATTTGTATGCAGTAACCTATATACGACCACATCACCAGGTATAACGATAAACTGTACTGTACGGTTAGTTAAACTGTACTGTACGATTAACCTGTTAATTTCATACAGCACGGTATAATACTTAATAAGCAATAAACTGTACTGTACGAATTTTAATGAATTTTAACGGTTAGTCGTACAGTACAATATTGTACTTAATAAGTGATAAACTGTACTGTACGAATTTTAACCAGTTAATCGTACAGTACAGTTAAAATAATCACGTGACACTAAATTCTACGCGTCGGTATTAGGATAAGTATTGAGATAAAAAAATTATTTTTTTTTATATAATACACAAATAAAAAATTATACATGTTTCTACATAATTATATTCATAACTAATATAAATTATTTCCTAACTTTTATATACCAAATTACTAATTAATTTCAAAAGAGAATAAATTTGAAATATTGTTATATTAATTTCTCCTAATATTTATTTATTTGTTAATGAATTATATTCACGTATGTATATTAAAAAACCAATAGATTTTATAAACCTAAAATCTTTTTTCGTTTCTCAAGTAGTATGATTTCTCTTTCAAGTTCATCATTTTTCTGTTTTTGAATAATTAGCATGTCTTGCTCCAGATCTTTCATTTTCCTTTGTTCTTCAAGACGTAAATTTTCATCTGAATCAATAATTTCAATTACATTTTCTTTATTCCTGAAATTACTTTTTTGTTTCTTTCTTGTATTTGAAGATAATAAAGGTTGTTTACCCTTACGCCTTTTCTCTAAAATAATTTAATCAAATACATTGTAATCAATTAAATTAAGTAAATTTCAGTTAAAATAAATCAAAGATATTTACCTACTCTTTGTTCAGCTTGAATTAATCGAGTTAATTCAGATTTATTTCGATATGAATCTGGAACATTATATTTTTTATAAATATCTATACTTTCCCACTGTCTATTATCAAAATCACGTCCTCTTTAAAAAGAAAGAAAATTATTAGAATTGCATTTTTTAACAAAAGTAATTTTTGAATTTGTAAATAATAATCAAAATAAAATAAATAATTACCTAGCAATACCAGCAAGGAGAGAAAGGTTACGACCATCATGATTTACATTTGCATGTGCACTTTCTCCAACGTTTGTATTATTTGGAGTTTGATGCCAAATATTACTATCCATTTTAGTAAATGCATATGAAACTCCTGACAAAACCCATGGAGTACGCTTATCATTTACCCAAGCTATAATAAAAATTAAACACTTCAATAAAATTATTAAATAATTTAACTTAATATTTGCGATTTTATTACCTGCAGTTCCTGGTTCTTCACAAGACTCAATTTTATTTAATACTTCTAAGACTTCTTCTTGTGTATTTAAAGAGGGAATTAAATACATAGCATTGCGAATTTCTCTTGATAATTGTCTGTTTTTGTCAATGTTTCTAAAATAAAGGAACAGTTAATAATTTATTGTTATAAATAATTAATATTTATTATATAAAATCTTACCGTTTATAATGGACCTGACAGAGTTTATAAATATATTGCAGATGTTCAACTGGAGCTAGATGTGGATACTTTGAACTTAAATATTGACCTAAACCTTTAATTATTTTTTTTTTTTAATGTCATAAATTAATTATATTGTTAAAATAACTCATAATATAAAATTTTAACATACCTAACGCTTGTCCTTTGTGTTGATCTGCAATTATACATCCCAATCCTTTGCCATGAATATGATAAAAGCTAAAAGTTTCTCCTGTATCCCTTTCAATACAATTAAATAGGTCTTCAAATAAATTTTGATATGCATTAGCTGTTTCAACATTTGTAAATATTCGCACAAATGTTAAAGCTAGTACAAAATTTTAATAAATAAAATCAGTAATAATAAAAAATTTAATAAATATTTATTATAAATCTTATAAATCTAAATTTAGCTTACTTTTTTGCACGTGAGGTAGATATGCTGCTACTTCCCATTCATTTGTAATACCATGAATTCTTTTAAATGCCATATCAATTTCAAAATATGTTAGTTCAGAAAGTGCTTTGAGTTGTTGTTTGGTAGCACATAAAACAATGTATTGTCCACTATCAAGAAAACCTGAGTAAAATGAAATATTAGATTTTATTTATAAATATCGTATTAATAAATTAATATACAATTAAATTACTTACGAATTGATCTTATATATGGATCATTGCTTTTTTCATGTTTCATAAACTCATGTACAACTCCCAAAATGTTTTGGCCGAATGGGTATTGTGAGCGTCTGGTTTTCTCAATATAATAATTGATCTTAGATTGATTATTTAACGATGGGTGCAAATCACTTATTGCCCTTCCATTCAAATAACTTTGAATCATAGATCCTATTTATAATTATCAAAGAAGAGTTGTAACTATTCCTTTATAAATTACAAATATATAATATAATATACCTGTTAAAAACTTTCTTGCCGTTAAATCAAGTATATGCTCATTATCAATTATTTTTTGAAGCTGATTCTTCACATTGTATGGTGTTTTGCGAGGTGGAGGAGGTGGATGATTATGTTTACCTACCGATACAGTTACAATGAATGGACAATCTTTTAAATTTTCTGGAATTATATGGTAAAATTTAACTGGACAACTGTCAGTCTTCTTATTTATAATTCCTTTGATAATACGATTTCCAGCTTTATGTAAAAATGCTAAAAGTTTATTCAAAAAATTATAATTAAAAATAGTATATGACGACATTATAGATAACATTATTAGTTAAACACTTACGACATTCATCTGATCGTGTACTATTAGGCCGTACTATATAACATTCATCTACTACATCCAATTCATCCTTCTATAATTTAAATATTAATGAACATTATTTTTTTTAAAAAAAATCATCTGTTTAAATTATTTTAATAATTAAATTTACCTCAAAATCAATTCCATTGGGATGGTAAGAATGCCCATTAAACATATCTTCTAATAATTCTAAATCAATATTGCTTGGAATTGTTAGATAACGGTGATTTTTTTCCCCAGATTGCCATTTAGTGCAACCAATAAACTTCTTTTTTGATGACGTTGAGCCTATCACCTATAAATAATTATATAGAAATTAGTTTTATAATTACAATAACAATAATTATTTCGCAGTAAATTAATTATTTAATATCATAATTTATAACAAATAGAAAATATTTGAACTTTTATACTTTATAAAAGTTAAATTTGCAAATAAAAAGTAAAAATAATCGCAATATAATTATAAACATGTTAAACATACTTGTGTAAATTCGCCTAATGTTGGTGTACCATTACACCGTATTCCTTTTTGATCAACATACCCACATTTATACTCGTGCGCTTTGGCAAATATACTTTAAAATTTAAAAATTAATAATTAAATCATTATAAATAATTCCAATGTATAAATTTACTACTAACCAAAGGGTTGCTCTTTCCTGAAATTTTTCATTGGCGTCAAATAAATTTTTAAAGAGAGACGAAGTAAAATCCACAGATGTGTGATCTACTTCTAATTTTTTAGATGCAAATTCACACATTTTCACACTAAGACATTTTCTCTCTTCTTTAGATACTTTTATTCCAGGAAAAAAATCACAATTCTTTACTGTTCGGGTTGTACCACTACCTCCATAGGAGTATTGGATATTAGTCATTGAAAACGCCTTTCGTGCCTCTTCTTCATCCCATCCTGACACATTGTACACACTTGCAAAACCAGTTTCTGACGTGTTAGGATATTCTTGAAATTCTATATAATAATGAATTTCAGACGCTGTTAACTTTTGGCCAAATTTAGCAACTTTAATAGGCCACTAAAAACCAAAAAAGAATTAATTATTAATTATTATTTAAAATTAAAATACAAAAATCTAATTTTAGTGTTTATATTATTTTTTCCGCCTATTTTAGCATTCATCCATGTATATATCAAGAGTATTAGTTGACCCTTCTCGTGGTATTTTTAACCTTATTTTTAATCTTATGCAGAATATGTTGTACGGGTCACTATATATATCTAATATTGATAAAATAACTGATAATCTAAATAACTATTTTGCGTTGTCTCCGGCTTTTAACTCACCTCTTCAATAAGTTCTTCATTAACTTCTATAGGATTTTCTACCATTTTATCAGAGACTTGTGTAAAGATTTGTTGTTTATAAGTTTTAATAACGCGTTGTTTTAGAAAAAAAAAAAAAAATCAAAAAAAATTTTTTATTTGATTTAGTGAACCATTCAATTGGTAGAAGATCATTTGGTGTACTGTACTATTTTTGTGTAATGTAGTGATTTTTATTGTTGTACAATTACGCAATTCAAAATTCGTACAGTACAGTTTTACTGATCGTACAGTACAGTTTATATGTATACCCCACATCACCTTGACCAGATGGAGGAAGACGAATTTTATGGTCAATTACTACCGATTGCTCGCCAGTTGCGTGAAGCCGAAACCCTGACCTTAATACAGGGCTCGCAGGAGCTCACCCTTTCTAGGGGGGGCTGATGTTACGCGGATCTGCGCCACATGGAAAGTTCAAGAAATTAGCAGCGATCCGCAGTGTAATGGTGTAACTTATACTTTGTATAGTTTATACTAAGTGTAATTTATACTTGGTATAATTTATATGAAGTTTAACTTATACATAGTATAATTTATACCGAATTTTCGAACAATATATATAGAGCGGGCGAACAGTGGGGAATAGGGGATAATTAAGGTTTATTTAGTGTTAAATTTTAGTATAGTTTATTCGGTAATATTGCAGATCGCCGGCAGAGGCAGCAATATTCTATTCTGATATTATTTATGAAATTTATTATGTATTAGCATTTATTTATTGCTTGATTATTTTAAGTTATTATTTACATTGAATAAATATACACTTTAAAATCATACATATAACTCTTAATTTTACATATATACTTTATTTCATTTCATTTTACGATAAACGTGACACGAATTTCTGTTACTATCACGTGACCCTGACGCAAATCGATAGTAACAGTATCCATTGTCACATGTTTTGACAATTGTCACGTGTTATTCTGATTAACGATCGGTTTTAAGCTTTTTGCTTTTTTTTTTACTTTATTATTTATCCATATTTCGCGTTCATACTGTAACTATTCTTTCCTTTAAAACCTTTTAATTCAAATTACTAAAAAAAATTTTATTAATATATTTATCTAGATGAACAATACCCAGAATTTTTCTCATGCAAATATGACGAAAATGATAATGAACCCAGCGATATTTACAATGAACCCGAAATGAAAATGTTCAGGAAGAAGCTTTGGATACAAGAAAAACAATGATAACTCATAGTATCACGATTCACGAAATTGTCTCATATCTTAGAGAAAGATATATATATGAAGGTACATAATATTATTATTATAGCACTAAGGCTAGAATTAGTACATATGTTATTATCGCGTTAGGGGTCAGTGCGTGGCGTTATTATTGCGTTAGGGTTAGGTTAGATAAAAGTATATAAATGAAGAAATTTGGGCAATGGCAAATTTATTGTATATTTATGTATTATTATTAAAAATTTTACGTTTACATATGTTTACATATTAAATTTACATGATCGCGACAAGTACTGTAGGATGCGCATATTCATTCGTATCAAGAAAATTTTTTCTTTTTTTATATACGGTAATTTTTTTATTTTGATTTTTTTATTATTGATATGCACTACTGTAGCACCGTAGCATCGATCACTGATCCAAACCTAAGGGGTGAAATAATGAAAAAAATTAGCAAAAAAATTAATTAAGAAAAAAAAAATTATAAGAATCGGCACTTAACGTAACACCGCAGCGTCAATCCGATTACTAAAAAACAAATAAATTGGGAAATAAACACAATTTAGAATTAATTATAACATTATCAATTTATTATGTCAACGGAAATAATAATATATTAACTATTTAGAAAATACAAACAAAATGCTTCAAATATTAGATTTTATTATAAAATACAATACGGCGGTTAAAAATTTTCTTTTTTATTTATCAATTAAATTCAAAAAAAAAATAGATACTTTATTTTTATTCAAATTATAAGAATTTTTAGAGTAAATTATGAAAATCAATCCTATACGACTTGAAATATTTCAATTTCTCCTATAACATCACAATCATCTGTGTTTCTGATCGGTTTTTCATAAGATTCTTTGTGACATTGAATTATTGATCCATTGGTAGCTCGAAGATCTCCATTACCAAATGATGGACCCTCGGTGAATCCGTTACAAATGGCATCCTTTTCATTTCTTACACGACTTAAAATAATATCACTATTCTTAAAAGAAAATATAAAGCTATCGTTGGTAATACCATAACTTCCATCAAATTTCCATTCAATCGGATTATATCCTCCAAGAATTTCGTCACTATCTCTCATTTTATAAATTGTTACGGTTCGGAATTGATTATTACAAGCGTTTTGGCACTTCTTAAATCTAAATAACGAACCAAAAAACCCAATGTCATTATGAGAATCACGATATAATAATTTGAATTCATATGACTTTTCTGTAGTTTCTAATTTATCGGTCCATTTTGAGATTAATACGGCTTGCTGATTTGTAATGATCTTAGAATCGATAATAATCTCTTTAACAATTTGAGATTCTGATTTTTTGATTGGTTCGTTATCATTATCCAAAAAATATTCTAACAAATCATTATATAATTCCTTTGGTAAGATTTTTTTATAAGGTTTTACTTTCTTCAAAAATTCTTTGGAAGTTAAATTACGGAATTTAATCAAAGGAATACATTTTTGTAAAGTATTCTTTAAAGTATTGAAATCAACTTTTGATAAGCTTGTAGGATCGGAAGGAAGTTCTGGATTTTGTGCAAGTCCCCATTTAATCACACGTTCCCAAACTTGAGTTTCGCTCATTTGATGATTATCGTTCTTAATAATCGTAACCAAAAGTATTTCTGGTACTGAAGTGAAACGTGGTGAATTTAATATCTTATTTGGTTCTTTTGAAATAAAATCAGTACAATATTTTTGAAGTTCTAAAAAAGAATCATTTTCAAAACTTGTTCGATATATCAAATCAAAATTCTGTTCCATCCAATGTTTTTTATTTTCAATCAAAAAGGATTCTAAATAAGGGATTAATTCCTGAAGTCCTAGTTCATTAGCAGCTATCAAGATTTTAATAATATCTGAGATATTACCGTACAGTTCCGAAATTAAGCAACCCCCGAAAATAAGCAACCCCCCAATAATAATAACCTCCGAAAATAAGCAACTCACGAATTTCTGTAATAAAAAATTAATAAATGTAATAAAAAATAATCAACATTGCTAAAATTAACTTAACAATTCAAAATAAAAGATAATTTTATTATGTATTATAAATGAAAATTATTATAAACTACAGTAGTATTATGGCTATTCATTATTAATTCACTATCACTATTCAATGATATCATCATCGGAACTTTCATTGTCAGTAATTTCATCATCAGTTCCATCCAAGGACGTTGAAATCCTACAAGTCTTGAAAGACTCAATAACTATTTCATCTGAGATTCTGTCCCAAGCACGTTTGACCCATCCACAAACATCAGATAATCTAGCACGGCGAAAGTTACCTGATGCAGTCATTCCGGAGCCACCTCCTGCCATCCAGATGTGCCATTCCTTACGAAGATTGTCTTTAAATGGTTTATTAATGGATACATCAAGTGGTTGACATATGCTAGTTAAACCACCTGGAATAACTGCTAGATCAATACCCCTGTCACGAAATTTGATTTTGACCGATTCTTCAAGATGTCCTCTAAAGGAATCGTATACCATCATTGTAGGAGCGTTACTGATACCCATTTTCCCCAGATTACTATTAACATAATCAACATAATCCTTCATTAGTTCAGAATCCATCCACCCATTTTGTTGAAACCAAACAATGACGCCAGAAGGAATCTGTTCGCCATGTGTTAGCCGTTTTCCCTTAAAGATACAAATTGGTGGAAATTTTGTACCATCTATAGTATAAAAAAATAGAGTAAGCAATGTTAAAAGTAAGTGATTATAAAATGATCTTACCCGCGGAAACTGTCAAAACAACCGTGAATCTGTTTTTTTCATTGCCAGTTCTGCGAATATGAATTGTTTTTTCGCCTCTGTTATCAATAGTAAAATTCCCTGTCATGTCAAACCAAACAGGGGTTTCGTCCATATTAAGGATATTGGACATCTCAAATAATTTTTCAGTTCTCAGCCGAGTGACAAACTCTTGAAAGTTTTTCAGCAGCTCATTCGTTTGTGATGGTAGCTTTTGTTAAACTTTAGTACGCCGCCGCCAAGATAAATTATGTCTTTTCATAAATGCAGAAATCCAACGGTTTGATGTTTTAAATTCATTTATTGAATTTCCATAAAGACTTATCATAGTAGGTTTTTTTAAAATGTCTAGCATTTTAACTCGTGCAATTGCATATGTGACACCTAATCCCTGCTTTCTTTGCTCAATAATCCAATCGTATAGTTCCTTTTCAGCTTCTGGGTAAAAGCTTTTTCGACCGGAACCTACCCGTTTGCTGTTTTGGTTTGTTTCGTTTACCCACTTTTCATTTAAATTAACCCAGCGACTAACCATACTCTTATCAAGTTCAAAAGACTTTGATGCTTTAATTATTCCATTTTCTTTAGCATAAGCAACAACTTGTCTCTTTTGCTCAATAGAATATGAGTTGCGATGTCGTTTGATAATTTTTTTATTAGCAACTCTTTTACTAACGACCATATTTTGTCTTCTCTTTTTTTGTAACGGCATATCGTGTGGAGAGTTTTAGGAAAAACAAGATTGCGCGTGACTAATTATTTATCGATCACAGTATTGTGTCACGTTATACCGATCATTTGATCATTTAAATTACAAAAAAACGAACAATTTCTTTCGTTTTCTTTGGATTTTTATTCAAAAAAAATATATAACCCGAAATTAAGCAACTCTATAATAAAAAAGTGTTGCTTAATTTCGGAACTGTACGGTATATTCCTCCAAAGAAAATCTACCTCCATAAATATACCTAAAATAGTAATAAAAAAAATTTATGTAAGAAAAAAAATATTTATAACGCATGATGAGAGGTATTCTCATTTTTTTTCTTACCTTAAGATTATTTGGAAAGTATCAGGTAAAATACTTGGTAGTTTAATATTTGTCAAAGTTCCATTATTTTTCTTTTTATTAGTTGATAAAATTCTTCGCAAATAAGAGGAACGATAATTTAAGATAACCATATGAGCACGAAATATTTTTACGTCAGGGTCATTACCAACTTCAATTGTAATATCATAATATTCTTCATCATTTAAAATTTCAAGTAAATTTTGTGTTAATTTCGATAAAAGATTGTTATCAATCATTATAAAATAAATGAGAGTGAATTCTCGAAAAAAAACATAATTATAAACCTTATTTATACGATTTGAAGATCATTTCAATGAATGCATATCAGATATAGTACATCATGTTCAGATCAACTAATTTTGGCATGTTCGGGTTTAACAACGTTCATGCTAATTGTTTAAGTACATGAATATTGCAGATTTACCCTCGCCACTAATTCAAAACGATCGAATCATCGAAATTGTTTTTTTTTTAATTGTTATTAGTAATATATCACAATAATCACATGTTATCCCAGTTCCTAGTTAAAATCCGGGAATTTTTTTCTTGATATTCTCATGGGTGGTGTTTATTTAAAAAGATTGGTAAAAAGTCTATCTTTATGGTACGGATACCGTGATATATTTCATGGAGTAATATCATGAATTTCACGGCACAGCCGTAAAAATCATTGATACCTACAGTTCCCCGTGAAATAACTGTTACTTATATCACAAGACACTTCAAATTTATAGAGGTATCATGTTTTTGATTTTTAAAAATATTTTATTTTTAATCGAGATTTTTTTTATATACAAGATAATGATGAGTTACCGGTAAATACAAATATTGATATATAAAAATATACTTAAATAAATAATGAAAAAAAAAAAATCTGAAAATAAATTTAAATACATCTTATAAAATTTGAAATACTTCAAAATCTTCATAAAACATTTCGCCATTTCTTCTAATCTCTCCATAAGAATTTTTCTTATAATGAATTTTTAAATCGCTCATAAAAGTTTGGTATAAAAGCAAGTCACTATTACCAAATGATGGTCCGTACTCATAAGAAGAACCGTTAAATATAGCTTTATCTTCATTCATTACACGACCTAATTTAAAATTTTCAATCCGACCATTATGAAAAGAAAATATAAAACTATCATTAGTTTCGCCATAACTACCATCAAATTTCCATTCAATTGGATTATATCCTCCAAGTATTTCATTACTATCCATCACTTTAATAAATGTTACAGTGCGATATTGATCTTTACAAATCTCGTGGCACTTTTTAAATCTATTAAGCAATCCACTAGACCCATCATGAGAATCACGATATAATAATTTGAATTCATGCGAAATTGTTGGATCGTCTGCTATTTCTAATTTACCAATCCATTTTGAAATACATTCAGCATGTTGATTTGTAATGATTTTAGAATCAATATTTTTTGATTTAGTCTTTTTGACAGTACGAGGTTCTGGTTTTTTAATCGGACCGCTATCAAACTCTACAACAGTACGCACACGAGGTTCTGATTTTTTGATCGGACCGCTATCAATCTCTACAACAGTACGTAGTTTAACAACATGAGGTTCTGATTTTTTGATCGGACCGCTATCAATCTCTACAACAGTACGTGGTTTAACAACACGAGGTTCTGATTTTTTAATTAGAGTCTTATCGTCATTATTATCCAAGAAATATTTTAATAAATCACTACGTAATTCTTTTGGTAAGATTTTCTTATAAGGTATTACTTTCTTAGAAAATTCTTTGGAAGTTAAATCATGGAATCTAATGAGAGGAATAAAATGTTGTAGGGTATTCTTTAAAACATTGAATTCTTCTTTTGAAAAGTCTGCCGGGTCAGAAGAAAGTTCTGGATTTTGAGCAAGTCCCCATTCAATCACGTGATCCCAAACTTGAATTTCGCTCATTTGAAGATTATCATTCTGAATAAGCGTAATTAAAAGCCTTTTTGGAATCGAAGAGAAATTTGGTGACCCAAATATTTTATTTGGTTCCTTGAAAATTAAATCAGTACAATACTTTTGAAGTTCTAAAAAAGAATCATTTTCAAAGCTTGTTTGATATACCAAATCAAAATTCTGCTCCAACCAATTTTTTTTATTTTCAATTAAAAAGGATTCCAAATAGGGAATTAATTCACGAAGATGTAATTCATTGGCTGCAACCAAGACTTTAATGATATCTGAAACATCATATTTTTTCAAAGAAATTCTTCCTCCGTAAATATACCTATAATAATCGTAAGGTTTGTAAAAAAATATATTTTTCACACGGAAATGAATTTTTTTTTAATTAATTAATTTTTCTTACTTTAAGATAATTTGAAAAATTTCAGGTAAGATATTTGGTAATTTAATATGTGCCAAAGCTCCATTATTTTTATCTTCGTTATTTGATGATAAGATTCTTCGCAAATAAGGAGAACGATAATTCAAAATAACCATATGAGCGCGAAAGGCTTTCACGTAGGATTTATTACCAACTTCAATCGTAATATCATAATATTCGTCATCATCTAACATTTCGAGTAGATTTTCTGATAATCTTGGTAATAACTTGTTATCGCCCATTATTAATTTATTTTTTTCTTTCAAAAAAAAAGAAAGAAAGAAAGTGGGTGGGAAATTTTTTAAAAAACCAATCCTAATTTGTTAATACAGTATTTATGGTTTGGATTGGTCATTCGAATTCTGAACAAACTGATTCTTTCTTTATTTGGCTTGAGGTCCCACAAAGTCAGCCATGCAAATCTTCCTAAAATTAATTGTCACATGACCATAAAAATCGGCATAATTACGAGAATTCAGGTGATTCAAACTACTAGGAGCTTTTTTTTGAGAAAGTTTATATGTGAATATGAAAATCACACTAAAACTTTTTTTTTCATGGTAAAGGATCATCTTACCATCCTTTATTAGGGTGTCACAGTCGTGACAACTGTACCACCGAATAATTTATTGGAGATTTTTATTGTTACACAACAATCGGATTTTTAAACAGTAAACTTCATAATGTTATGTTTGCTTTTTGTTCAAGATCATTATTCATCATTCATCTGTGTTGAGTGCTTGGTTAATCTCAAGAATACTTTTTTCTTGGTTGCTCTTGGTTTATTTACAGAAAGTTGGCTTGCTCTACGTGAGCTCTACGTGACTGAATCTTTCTTCGAGATTTTCTGCATTTTATTTATTATACTAATTAACATACTTAAAATGTTTTACATAATTATTAAAACGTGAATTTACTTTCAGAATTTTACAGCAAGTCTGTAGATAGGTTAAGAACAAAGTTACGTATAAAATTTAGTTTGGATAACCTCGTATATTTTGCAAATATTTTCTTTTTAAGAAGAAATGTCAACCCATTTTTAAAATCTTTAGGAAAACGATAATTACCTTACAATAGCTCTTAAGAGTAGTTTCTAACCAAAAGAAAGAATAATAATAAATATGGTGTTCGTGGGAATCTTTTAGGGACTTTATTTTTTTATTAATATCAATTTTAAGCTTTGTGTAACAATAAAATTTCAATTTTTATAGCTAGTTGGGATACTTCATTCAAATAACAATATTTTCCAAATTCATATAAAAGTTATATTACTTTTTCCAATTTTTCAGTAATTGAGCTAATTTCATTGCTTGAAACAGTTAATATAAGTATCTGACTTGACATGTTCGGATCTCTATCCCCTTCAACTTTCAATTCTAGAATTCCAGTTCGAAATTCAAGTCCAGGAGTCGTCCCTAAAGAAAAAAAAAATGTAAAGAAACATTGTTAAAAGTTTTACTAATATTCCTAATTCCTGTAATTTCCAACGCCTACCTCCGAAATACATTTCCAGACGTTCAGGAGGTACCTAAAGAAAAAAATAAATGAAAAGTTAGTCAAAGTTCTACTTACTAACTTTTCTTAAATCCTATTGTTACGAACTTTTCTTTTCAACATGTGTATTGTAGAATTTAAATGGACTTTTCCAAAAAAAAGTACTGTTATTTCATTAATATGTTTATTCACAGAATAGTGAATCATCATAATAGTCTTATAATTTAACAATTTCAAAAAAAAGTAATTGTGTTTAAGATTACAGGGATTTATTATAGTATAACGTTATTATTATCTTATATTTATTTTCATATATACCATATCCTGATTACTTTAAGTATTTGTTACAAAATTATTAACTATATACAGCAATTAATGGAAAAAATATAGTAATAAAGCGAAACGTTTCACTACCATGTGATTCGTAATTATCAGTGGCGTCAAACAATATTTGTCAATTGTCATGTTATTTGTCATGTGAACTTGTGAATTTTATGGGAAATGAATAATCTAATATTCAAATAATAATCTTTTTTTATTCTTTGCACTTCTGCGACATCTTTTAGCATCAGGTTTCCATTTTGAAACGAAATCGTAATATATCTTGAGCTAAAAAAAATTCATTTATCTATTGTTTTGCATGATTTAAATCGATATGGAATACTGTATTCCTACTCCCCTAGAATTTATGTTTTCAGAATTATTAAGTTCCTTAAGAACAATTGTTATTCTTCCATAATAGTAATATAATAGTCATACTTTTGCTTTCATCCGATTATTTATTGAACCATCAATCCAAGTAGCCATATAAATTTTGCTAAACCTCCTTCGGCAATAAATCCTACATCCTTAAATCTATCGTAGTAATTATTTATCATGCCTTTATAAAATCATCAATAACTTTATCATTTTTACTTTGTAACATTGGTAGCAAATCTGATCAATTTTATTTCTACGTTTGTATTCATTACATTTCTTAAATATTGGTTCAAAATGTAGTTTGTATCGGATGTATTAAATCCTAACGAGTATCATGGATTCTAATTATTTTAAATTATTTTTCTTTAATAAAAATTCTAATAAATAATCATTAAAAATTGCAACTAGTTTTTAATATGTTTTCCTAAATTTGATTTAAATAAATAAATAAATAATATGAAATATTTACCATTACTGTCATGAGTTTTAATATATCTTCTATTTTTAAAAGAGTTGAAAATTTTGAATTGTAAAAAACTTAAATCCTGTGATTTTTGACCAAACCGTTAAAAAAACATGATATTTTAAAAAAATCCAATTTTTCTTAAAAAAATTTTTGGCCAGACAATTTAACTGTTTACAATATTCATTAAATAATCCATCAAAGCAGAAAAATAAAAATTTTGTTATTATTTTTTTTCGATATCTTTATATTATTTTATTAATGTTAAGAAAAAAACTAACTTCTAATATATACTTTTTAAAAAAATTCGGTTTTTTTTTTTTTGAAAAGAACGTACAACAGAATAATATAATTCCGGGGAATTCCATTCTCAAATCTATTCCTAACTCCCATTAGTCTTTTCTTTACGTCTTCCTTTAGTATGTAGGTTGGGAGTATGGGTTTATGTGTGGGTTTACAGTAACCTTCATAATGTTTGTAGATACAATTTTTTAATTTTGGTTACCATGAAGGCGCAGCAATAATTCTCGGAAAAATTATTTTCGATATGGTTAGTATAAATTCTTGTTGTACAAATAAGGTTTCGTTAGAAAAAAATTTTTTTTTTTCTTTTGAAAATTTTTTTCAAGCAATGATGAGAGGAATTTCATTAGAACAAGATTTAAGATTATTAATAAATAATCCAAAGTATAGTGATATAGAAATTTTATGTAAGGATGAAAAGAAGTTATATGGTTGCAGAGCAATTTTAGCAGCAAGATCTGAAGTATTTGATAAATTAATTTATAATGGGATGAAGGAAAGTTGTGAAAAACAAATTTCTTTACAAGAGATTAATAATAATATTTCTTTACCAGAGATTAATTCCATTGGAATGGAGATCGTATTAGAATATATTTATACAGGATCAATTAAAGAAGAATTTTTAACAAAAGATAATATAATTGAAGCTTTTTATGCTGCAAATTATTTTCAATTAACGGAACTTCAAGATTTTATTACGAAAACTTCTAAAAATGCAATAGAAAAAAATTTCAAAGATAATGATTCACCGGAATTATTATCTAAATTTGTGGAAAAAAATATTCTAACAGAAAATAGTAATCTTCAAAATTTATTGGTTGAAGCAGTAGCAACTATTCCACTAAATATCATTGAATTTGGTCGTTTATCTATTACAGGTCTTCAATATCTTTTATCCTGTACTAGTAAAGAAAGAATGCCTTTTGCAACACCAGAATATGAAGTTCTTCGATATAGTGTTATCCTCGTAGCAAAACAAGTTTCTAATGATGCATATAAAACTTTTATGGAACGGTTACCAACTTTAGAAAAGTTAGAACAGATAAAAAATCCTCGAATAGAAAATAAATTTATGACCCAAAAAGTCGCTAAAGAATTGGAGCCTTTAGTTAAATTTATTGATTTCATGCGAATTGAAGGGCAAATTTTGGTCGATATCATTGAACCATTAGAAATTATCTCTCCAGAAATAATTTTTGATGTTTATCGACAAAAGACTAGATTAAGCAAATCCGATTTAAATAATATACGTGGAATACCAATACCAACTTGTGTTTGGGATGAGTCAGAATGTGGAGCAAGTATTCTTATTGAGGAGAATGGAAAAATTGCATGTTTACAAGAGAAAACTGATTCATGGAGAAATGTTAGAGCTAAAATGATACTAGAAGATAATGGCATTTTTGAATGGGATGTCATTGTGGAGAAAGCTGGTTCGGATGCTTGGGTTGGAGTATGTGCATCAGAAAATTTAAATTATGGATTTTGGGCAGGAAGGCAACCAACTGGATGGGTATTAGGTATCAAGGGTATTTATAGAACTTCTGATAAAGGATCAAGTTATTGTCCACCATTCGGAGATGGCGCAATAATTACTGTTCATATGGATATGAATAAAAGAACTTGTGCCTTTACAGTTAATGGTACTAGGTATCAGGAAGTATCAGAATGGAATAATTTACCATCTAAGCTTTATCCAGTAGTATCACTTGGTCATTTTGCTAAACTTCGAATTCAGCCTCACCGAAAAAATGGTTAATTTACGTCGTCATTTTATATATACTTTTTGATTATTATTTGTTTTGTATTAAAATTAGCAAAGTAGTAATAAATTTTCTAAAATTTTATTTATTATGAATTTTAGAGCTTACTTACAATGTTTTGAAATGCGAATATTATGAATAATGTTGCTAAACAGTCAGAGCAATTAATTAATTAATTAATTCTCCAGCTGCTGATAATTACACCGCTAAAAGATTTGTTGATTATTATAAATTAAATATAAAAAAGGAAAAGTCCGAATGTTGTAATTAAATCTATAATAAATTTTTTGATAAATCTATATAAATAAAAAATTTGTCTGACATTTGGATTAGTCTCCATAACTTGAAATCCCATGCCATATAATTAAAATCCGTGACATGCCTCTGCCTGATCTATTTATGGTCAAGAATTATTCAATCCATATGAACTAATCCAATTTCAGTTAATGAAATTTTACCTGAATTTTTTTTTGATTATTAATTTTGATTTTTCACTTTTCGACCTGTGTTATTAGTTTTTTAATAAAGTTCATTTTCATTTTTGTAGGTCTAAGACACTGAAGGTATATGCCTCAAATTCAATTTAAAGAAAAAAAATGTTTTTTAATTTTTCATTTTTTTTTAAACTGAAATTTTTTTTTTATATTAAATAATCCTATTGTTTCAGTCTTTTAAGACTGGTTTTTTTTATATTATTTTTGAGTATTGCTAATCTTAACCGGGGGGATAATTCCTCCCCCCTTAAGAATTTAAAGAAAATAAACTTTTTTTATGAAATATACAAAATAAATATAATTGGATACTAATTGCATAAAAATTTGGCAATTCTTGGTTTTAAAAAATTTTTTATCATGAAAAATACAATTTAACTATAAAAATCAAAATTATGTACTTTTCTCAAAAACCATCTGAACAACTAACTTAATAAAACCTTTTCTTCTCATAAATTTACATATAATCCTATTCTTAGATTACTATGCAAGTCAATATTTTAATTAAAAATTGAAATAAAGGGAGAGGGAGGAAAATTCCCCCAGGTTAAGTTTAGTAATTCTCTTATTTTTTTTTGATTTTTTTTCAGTATTATTTTTTTTTTTTTTGGGGCCAAAATATTGTTCTTTATTTTCAGAATTTTTTTCAGTACTTATTTTTTTTCGAATTCCCTTTTTTTTAGAAATTTCCCTTTTTTAAGCTGATTTCTTTCCCCAAAATTTTTTTTTATTTTTTTCTTTTTCCTTCAATTTTTTATTATTATTAAATAAAGAAATAAAATATTATATTAAATATATTTACAAAATTATTATTTTTTTAAAAAAATCAATATATAGGAAAATTGACCGACGTTAATAGAAAGATTATTAAGATTTTTCAATTAAATTAAATGCTGGATAAATAGTTTGAAGAAATTGTTAATTTAATAATAAATTATTATAACCAAATCCATATCCAAAATTCTCTAGTAAATAAATACCAGATTTTGAATAAAGATTTTAATTCAAATGATATAGTTAAATTAATAATTTATTGAGTAAAATGAGTATCAAAAAAATAATAAATGGAATAAACAGATTCTAATACATTTAATTGTTCAAATATTTTCCTAAGTTGGTTATAAGTTTAAGATTGATGTAATATAAAATAAATTATAAAATTTATAATTAATTAATAAAATATTTGTAATATTGTTTTTACTTCAAATCACCGGGGGTGACCAGAATTATCAAATTTTAACGGCACTATATTTTTTCTGTCTCTTATACACATCTAGATGTGTATAAGAGACAGGTTTAAGATTGATGTAATATAAAATAAATTATAAAATTTATAATTAATTAATAAAATATTTGTAATATTGTTTTTACTTCAAATCACCGGGGGTGACCAGAATTATCAAATTTTAACGGCACTATATTTTTTAATGCTGGTCGATTGTCATAATTTCAGTCACCGGTGATCTGATAGTTAGAAAAATTCTATAATATTAAGTTTTTTTGAAAATTTCATTCTACACTCAAACATACATTATTATAAATAAATATAATTTATATCATTAATACATATTATTTTATTATTTTTTGTTAACAATTATTATCATATTAAATATCTAATTATAAACAAAAAACTACTATAACCATCTTTAATTTACTTAGTATTACATTATAATACTTTCTATTTAAACAAACTCATTGATCCCAGTGTGAAGCAACAGGTGACTGCTAGTAATTAAAAAAAAATAATAATACAATTCATTCTGCTTTAGAATTTTTCTTTTTTAAGAAAGAAAAAAAAATATGACATCAGCAGTATCTGTATTATATCAAGTCAAATCCAAAGGATTAGATGGTGGATTTATCAATGGTTTGGCAAACTCCAAAAACTTTCATTTTATAAATACACAATTTGACATTTTTTAATACAATGTATAGTTATTTATTAGTATTATTCATTTCAAGTTATTGCCTCACATTAAACAGTTTAGAAACGCCCTGTCAGAGACTAAGGCAACTTGTTATATCTATATAGTTAGCCTGAATAACGGAGCAGAATTCCTGATTGCTGATCATCCAGACCTGGATTAATCGCAGAAAATTATGGAAAGCCGTCCTTGACAAAAGGTTGATGTCCAAACATCATGAAATATAATATTTAGACATCATGATGGTATATCTAGACATCATGTTTGATATATGTCGGATGATGTTTGTACATCATTCAACATGATGTGAAAGACATCAACTGACATGATGTCTAGACATCATGCTGATCAAATTACCAAATATAGTATATTTATGAGTTACACAAAATAAAATTTACTATATTTGGTAACATGATGTCTAAGACATCATGTCGGTTGATGCTTGAGCATTAGGGATGGCAACGGTCGGTCATGGTCGGTCATCAGTCGGTCATAACCGGTCAAGAACCTTTGACCGACCGACCGACCGTTTGACCGACCGATATCGGTCACGGTCATGACCGGTCATAACCGGTTAATGACCGTGACCGTTGCCATCCCTATTGAGCATCATGTTGAATGATGTACAAACATCATCCGACATATATCAAACATGATGTCTAGACATTATCCAACATGATGTCTGGATATCAACCTTTTGTCAAGGACGGCTTTCTATAGAAAATCCCCTGGAATTCCATGATGATTTACACCTGGGCCAGGTACGGATCACATTGTGGCCAATTATTTTTTGGCTAACTACACCATTTGAGGATTTTTTATAACACTAATGAAAAAAGTTTCCTTAAATTTTTTTTTCAGCTTTTTTTTTAAACCGATTTACTTTTATTTTTTTTTTCCTAATTGCACCTTTTTTTATTATATCAAAAATCGATAATTTGCTAGTTACTCTTGCTTATTTTTTCTATTTAGCTTATTAGAAAATTAATATATTATTTGTTTTCCAAAACGTAATACTACTGTCTTAGTACTAGTTGCTAGTATAAAGAAAATGTTTATGTAAGTACATATATATTTTTTTATGTCATGATAATACAGCGTAAATAATAACTAGAGCAGTGAGCTTAATAAATAATTATTCATTTTCTTCATTTTTTTTTCTTTAGATTCGATCAGGGATCTACATATGATACAGAAGTAACTCAGAATTTTTACCTTCTTTTTTTTAGCAATAATTGATTACTAATCAGTTTGTCTTTCAATTAATACTTTAAATTTTATTTTTTCAGAACATTAAATCTAGTCGTTAAAGCTTACTGTCATATTTTACAGTATCTTCGAGCGTAACTACTTTTGACATTATTAAATTATTATATTTTTGTATGTCATTAAATACCAAAATTGTTTTAAAAATAAAATTTCATGTTATTAAGAAAAATGATGTTGAAATAGAAGGAAATTTTAATAATTTATTGTTTTGTCATAATAATTATTATTTTTTTTTATTTACAAGCAGATTGTAATTATTAATTACTTTAATAATGAATTATATTATAACTGAATTCCATTTGTTAATACGAATTTCCTTCATATAATAATGGTAAAATATTTCTTTTAGTTTTATATAGAATTTAAAACAAACTAAACTAATTGGATAATACATTTTTTAATCTAACAATTTTAACACGATTCTAATTATCATAATTGACTGTACTATATTTTTTAAAATTTCAATAAAGTGCCTATATACTGTAGTATAAATATACTAACAAATAATATTTTGGTGATGGATAAATGGATTGATCGACAAAGCTTTTTTTTGTGAAACAAGTATTTTGTTTGGGATTTATAAAAAGGAAATTTCTTAATAATCCGTGATTTTTGTGATCATCAGCTGACTTGAACATTTTATTGTTTGACCTAAATAAAAATAAAATTTTGTCAATCACTGCTGTGCAACTGTAATACGTTTTAAAAAGCACCTTTTTTTTTTTTAAAAAAAAAAAAATCTTTTTTACTCTGTCTAGACATAAAATTGAAGTCACATTTATTAATCCAATATGGAAGAATTTGTGCTTACTGATGATATAATTGAACAAATAAAAGATTTTGACCATGAGGGCCTAATTGAAGAACAAAGTTTGTTAATTGATAAGTTAATATTAAATGAGGAATTAAAAAAACGTTATAAAAAAAATGGTTTATGCAAAGAATGTAAGCAGCCTAATACATATTATCAAGGAGATTATAGTATTTGGTGTATGTCATGTAATGCTAAGAATTTTCAACAAAATTTCAAGAATTGGACTAGTGGAAATCATGAAGTTGATAAGTTTATTCAAAAAACACAACTTAAAGCTAAAAATTTAAGTGAAGTTTTAGAATGGATTGAATATGATAGATTTGAAAATATTGAATACTTGACAAAAGGAGGATTTGGAACTATTTATAAAGCAATTTGGAAAGATGGACGGATAAAAAGTTGGGATTTTGAGAATAATAAATGGACAAGAAGTAAATATTATTGTAGGGAATATGAGGATTTTCCAGTTGTTTTAAAATGTTTACATAATTCTCAAGATATTTCATCCGATTTTTTAAGAATAGTAAGTTACTTATTTTGTATATAATTTCAAGATATTGTCCTATTATAAATGTTAAACTACCTATTAATTATTATTATTATGGATTCTTTTTTAGATTGAAACACATATGTTTGTTTCAAATTATGGAGATCGTATAACAAAGTGTTATGGCATTACTAAAGATCCAGAATCTAGAAATTTTATGATAGTAATGGGATATGCAAAAGATGGTAGTTTAAGACAATATTTAAATAGTAGTTTTAATTCAATAAAATGGAATGAAAAGTTGGTTATTTTACAAGTTATTGCACAAGGCCTCGATGATATTCATCAAAAAAGGGTTAATTCATCGTGATTTTCATTGTGGTAATATATTAAAAGACAGCCATTTTACTTTTATTACTGATTTAGGATTATGTCGACTAGCAAATGTAAAATCATCTCAAAATGAATGTAAAGAACTATATGGAGTATTACCTTATGTAGCACCAGAAGTTTTAAGAGGAAAAGAATACACTCAAGAAAGCGATATTTATGGATTTGGAATTGTTGCATATGAAGTCTGTACAGGGCTACCTCCTTATCATGATATTATTCATGATAAATTCTTAGCTATTAGCATTTGTCAAGGACTTAGGCCAAAATCAAATTATAAAATTCCTCAATTAGTTTTAAACATAATTAAACAATGTTGGGATGCCGATCCTTTAAAACGACCTAAAGCAAATGAATTAGAAGATTTATTTGACAAGTTATATGATGAGTTAGATTATGATTTTGATGAAGAATATATAAATGAAATCTATAAGCAAGTTGAAGAAGCAGAAAAATTAATGAAAAGTTAATATCATCATCATCATTATATACTGGTCCTACTCTTTCATATACTACAAATCCTCAAGCAGTTTACACGAGTAGACTTTTAGATTTTAAAAATCTTCCAGAGCCAATAAATGCTATTGATAATAAGGATGATGATAATTCATTTGGAGAATATTCAGGTTATTAATTTCCTAATTTACTTTACAAATGCATTCTTTAAATATTTTATTTGATGTAAATAATTATTTTTTTTATATTACAGAATCAATAGAAGCAATAGATTTTACTAAACTAGACCCTAGGTACTTATATACATTAACTTTTTATATGATTTATTTATTAATAATATTATTTAATAATTTATTTTTCACTTATAGAAGCAGCTGAATAAAAGAAAGGAAGGGTATAAATTTCTTTATTATTTACTATTTATTTTCTTTAACATTTTAACATTACTACAGATATGTTATTTTATTGGAATGTATTTTTTATGATTAAATAAAGTATTATTTCTATGAAATTATATGAAAATAAATAGAATGAATTGTATGTATAAATATGTTATAAAAATTGCAACAAAGTAAAAAAATTACATTGTATTTTATGTTAATCTTTAAATATTATAAAGTTATCCAACTCAAAAGGAGGTCAAAAACCTTATTATGACCCGGCCCAGATTTTTAAGTTCGGGTTGGATCATATTTAAATCAATCAACAAATATTTTAGTGGTGTAAATATTTTGAAAGAGTAATATTATAAGAATTATATATATATTGTAAATAGTAAAAAAAAATTATTAAAATTATTGGTTTTGTATTGGGATATTCTTCTGTCTAATAATGTTTATAAAATTTCTTAAACGAAAAGTTATATAAGATTTGAACTTTTATATCTTTATGTAGGATTGTTAGACGAATTTACAAACTGGACTTTGAGATTAAGGTAAGAGGGAACTGGTGAACTTTTTTTTTTGTTTGGGAACGTAATTAACACTCCTTTCTTCTTCTTTTCTTAGGGATGCCTCCCAACTTCGACTTTTGGATATCTGACATGAAATTGTAAGTATAACGAAGGGGAGGGGATTTTTTAATTGGAAATGTTATTAACATTCCTTTTTGGTTTTTTACTTTAGGTACAGCTCCTGGATTAAGAATAGTAGGTTGAGACGATGTGTGGGAATTGGGAAATTTGTTTCTTTTAATTTAGGAACGCTACTAACGTTCCTTTTTATTTTATTTCTTTAGGGACAGTGCTTACACTTGGGCTATGTCCACAATTAAAATTGAATTTAGTTGCTAGTTTTTATTATTATAATAACTATAATAAATACAATTAAATGATATATTTTTTTGTACAATTAAATATTAATGTTTTTAAAATTTAAAAAAATCGCCCGGGTTTTTTTTTCAAATATGTCACATGATGTATAATATATAAATATAACTTGTTAATATTTAAATTAAGTTTTTATTAAAGTCGCTAATGTAAATTTTAGAACCATCAATGTATAAAATATAATTGATTTCTAAATAATTTTTCTTGATGCAATAAACTTATTTTGCGGTTTTGTTTATATATTATTAATGATAATTAATATATATATATATATATATATGCGGGCACTATGATTTTTTTTTTAAAAAAAATTATCTTTTGCGGGTTTAATATAATGATAACTAGAAATGCGTCTAAAACTGATAATTCTTATTGGTAATATTGATGTGTAATTAATATCTATGTTAGTATAATCAAAATTTAACATTAATAATAATGATAATAAAGTAAAAATAAAAATAAAAGTAAAAAATAAAAAAAAAATGATAAAAAAAAAAAAATCCTAAGAAGGGCTTCCAGAAAAAAAAATTATTTATTGTTGGTCAAACGCTGCAGGCTGCAGTTTTTTGATACAGGAAATTCCAAGTATTTTGACTTATCCTAATTTCTTGTAATGCATTGAAATACTGCCGGGTTATAAAGTAACTATGCAGATTTAATGATTGTCGTACATAAATAATAAATGATTTAATCACCACTCATAGCGATAAAGCGATAAACTGTTAACCTTTGTAAATTATAATAAATGTATTTAGAAATGTTATATATCATTTCCTATTATCATTTGTTTAGTATACGAATGAGTAAATTTTGGAGAAATCCTGTCTAAAAAAAATTGTATTAGTGTATAAATTTTTATAAATTATCGAATATCACCCCTGCGGAAATATCCGTTCACAATCCCTACGAATATTTTTCGGCTATGAAAAAGTCTCTTATTAAAGAATAAATATTCTTAATTATTAAAAAATATTCAATTTTTTCGATCAAATTATAACACGTATATTTATTAATTTCATTATAAAATCAAAAACGAAAAATAAAATGAAAATGAGAAAAAAAAAAAGAAATTATATAAATCGATCTCGTTTTTAAGAAAATTTATCATTAGAATATAAACAATCAATCTAACATAATTTGAAATACTTCAAATTCTAAAAAAGTCGCATCTGTTTCTCTGATTTGCTTTTCATAACTTTTTTGTCTACAAACAAGTTTTAATTCACCACCAAGAGTTTTGCATAAATACAGATCCCTATCACCAAATGATGGACCGTAACAAAGTCCGTTAAAAATAGCTCTTTTATCATTTCTTACACGACTTAAAATAAAATTATCATTACTAAGAGAGAAAATAAAACTATCTTTAGTAATACCATGACTATCATCAGATTTCCATTTAATAGGATTATAACCTCCAATAATTTCTTCACTGTCTTTCAATTTAATAATTGTTAAAGTACGAGATTTGTTATCACAAATTTCATGAAAATTTCTAAATCTATCAAACATTCCATCTGATCCATCACGAGTATCGCGATATAATAATACGAATTTGTAAGAACTTGTTAATTTGTCTTTAGATCCTAATCTATCAATCCATTTTGAGATTAATTCAACATGTTGAAATGAGATGATTTTAGAATCAATATTTTTTGATTTAATAGTAAGAGATTCTATTCTTTTAATATCATTAACCGTAAAATGATCCAATAAACTTATATATAATTCTTTTGGCAAAATTTCTTCATAAGGTAGTACTTTCTTAAAAAATTCTCTGGACGTTAAATTTTGGAATCTAATCAAAGGAATGAACTGTTGTAAGGTATTCTTTAAAACTTTAAATTCATTCTTCGAATAACTTGTAGGATCAGAAGGAAGTTTCGGATTTTGAGCGAGCCCCCATTTAACTATATATTCCCAAACTTGAATTTCAGTCATTTGAAGGTTATTTCTTTGAATAAGTAAGACTAAAAGCTTTTCTGGGATTATAGAGAAATTCAAAGAATTTAAAATCTTTATTGGATCTTTTAAAATAAAATCAATACAAAATTTTTGAAATTTAAAGAAAGAGTCGTTTTCAAAACTTATGTGATATATCAAATCAAAATTTTGTTCTAACCAGTTAATTCTATTCTTAATTAAGAAAGATTCTATATAAAGGGTCAATTCCTCGAGACCAAGTTCGTTAGCAGCCATCAAAATTTTAATAATATCTGAATCATCATATTCTTCCAATAAAAGTTCTCCTCCATAAATATACCTATAAAAATAAAAATTTAATAAAATATTTTAAAATAATTAATTTAATAAATCACACGTAATTTAATCTTTATTTACCTTAGAACACTTTGAAAAATTTCTGATGAAATATTCAATAATTTAATATGTACAAAGTAATCAAATTTTTTCTTTTTATCAGTTGATAAGATTCTTCTAAAATAAGAAGAACGATAATTCAAAATAACCATGTGAGCGCGAAATATTTTTACATCAGGGCTATTTCCAACTTCAATTGTAATATCATAATATTCCTCATCATTCAAAATTTCAAGTAAACTTTGTGATAGTTTTTGCAAAAGTTTATTATCAGCCATCATAATTGGTATTCCTTTTTTTTTTTCTTTGAGTAAAAGAAACAAAGAAAAAAAAAAGAATTCCTAATTTATAAATTAAAAAGCGTGTAAGTCACGTTCACGTATTCAGCATTGTTACACATTTCGTCATCGTTGTTTAATTAATTTCGATAACTGAACTTTCTTTGCAGTCTGTGCACAAAAATTTGCACACATTAATTGAAAGAATTTCTTTTGTTACTGATTGATAATACTCTTTAGTGTAACTCACTAAAATATCGTCAATAAAGATTTTTTTGGCCTAATTATTTCCATTTCAACAATTTTTGCAAAATAAAATCTATAGATGTAAAGTTTTTGTCGTAAAGAAGATTTTGGAAAATTTTACAGTGATTTCATTTCATTTTATTTTTTAGTACAGGAATTTATAAAATTTTTTTAAATATTTAAAAATTACATTGTCGAATTTTTAAAATGTTATCCACAGATTTAAAGAGTAAACATGAGCCTTATTTATATATATCGATATATATTTTTTTTTTAATAAAAGTGTATAATTATTTTATGATCACTAAACGAAAGAAAAAATGAAATTAAAAATAAAAGTAAAATCGCTTGTTTATTTTGAGGCTGAAAACGTTGATGAACTTTGAATACCAAACTCAAATTGAGAAAGATCATAGAAAAATACCGAGTTTTAAGGTTAAATCAAGTAACATTCTATTTCGATGTCAATATAGAGGCTACGTTTTGCGCGGGTTAAGTAGAATAGTTAATTCTCTTAATTTTTATATAAATTTATATTAGATTCAATAATAATAAAAATTTTTTTACTAAATTAGTATAATTTATCTGTAAAACGATTACGCATAATACGCGCTATACCGCTGGTAAATTTTAAGAATATGGATTAAATCCCGAGATTACAGTAGTTGTTATAAAATTTTGATCCGATATTTTTGCTTGAATTTCATATATATTTAACATATTACGCATTTACACTACCATTTCTCTATATTCATTAATCATTACATTTTACCACCATAACTCAATCAATATTAAAAACTTAAGAACTAACGGACTCATATTGAATTTATTTTAACAGAATTAAAAATTTCATGAAATTTGAGAACTATGGCAATTATTAAAGGTTATGGCAACATCATTATATTTATTCTGAAGAATGTCAGATCGGCAGATTTGTGAAATCACATGCCATTTTTTCGACTATAATAAATTTTATTCTATGTTCGTGTTGACATGTGGTTACGTAAATCCCCATTTTGAAGTATTCCAATAATTAAAAATTGAAAAATAAACCACTCCAATGTGATGTCTCATTGCAAGTTAAATAACGTAAACATTAATACTTAATATACTTTGGCTATTACCGCCGTTTTCAAAATAATGTAGTAAGGCATATTTGCATAAAAAAAAGATTATCGGATTATATGATTACCATGATTACCAGGTGATTAACGGATGATTTCAATATGATTAGCTGTAATCTTTTTGAAAACGTCGATAAATTTCGAACACGTAAATATGATTTGTCTATTAATAATTAATTTACTTTATGGAAACAACTTTAACCGGTTATTGGTTAATCAAGTTACCTCGTGTCCGAAAAAAAAAAAAATTTTTTAGGTTTGAAAATTGAAAATAAAGACCTGATTCACCTGAAATTATTTTTTTTTCAATTCATTTCATTTTATAATGGTTGATAATAAACTTTTGACAAAATTATCACAAAATTTACTTGAGATTTTAGACAACGAAGAACATTATGATATTATAATTGAAGTTGGTAACGATCCTTACATAAAAATATTTCATGCTCATATGATTATTTTGAATTATCGTTTTTCTTATTTTAGAAGAATTTTATCAACCAATAAAAAGAAAGATTTGACAAACATTAGATTACCAAATATTTTACCCGATACTTTTCAAATAGTCTTAAGGTAAGATAAATAAAATCTCGTTCATCATTTGGTCATGCGATAATTATATATTTTTTACAAACTTTTTTAATCATTTAATTATTTTAGGTATATTTATGGAGGAAAACTCTCATTGGAAGAATATGATATTTCAGATATCATTAAAATTTTAGTTACTGCTAATGAACTCAACCTTCAAGAATTAATCCCTTATTTAGAATCTTTTTTAATTGAAAATAAAAAAAATTGGAATGAACAAGATATTAATTTGATATATCAAACTTGTTTTGAAAATAATTCCTTTTTAGAACTTCAAAAAAATTGTACTAATTTAATTATTAAAAAATCAAATAAGATATTTAATTCGTCGAATTTCACTTCAATCCCAGAAAAATTATTAATCACGCTTATTCAAAATCATCAAATGAACGAAATTCAAGTTTGGGAACATTTAATTAAATGGGGACTTGCTCAAAATCCTGAACTTTCTTCCGATCTTACAAGCTTTTCAAAAGATGATTTTAGTACTTTAAAGAATACCTTACAAAAATGTATTCCTTTTATTAAATTCCGTAATTTAACTTCCAAAGAATTTTTGAAGAAAGTAAATCCATATAAAAAAATCTTACCGAAGGAATTATACAATGAATTGTTAGAATATTTTTTGGATAATGATTACGACCTAAATAAAAAATCAGAATCTCGTACTAGTATTAAAGAGATAGAATCGAAAAATATTGATTCTAAAATCATTACAAATCAACATGTTGAAATAATTTCAAAATGGATTGACGGATTAGAAATTACAGACAAATTAGCAAGTTCATACGAATTCAAATTATTATATCGCGATAGTGAAGAGTCTGGTGGAGCGCTTGTGAGGATTAAAAAATTTCATGAAGTATGTGATGATCATTCCCGAACTGTAACAATCTTTAAAGTGAAGGACAGAAATGAGATTCTTGGAGGATATAATCCGATTGAATGGAAATCTGATAATAGTTATTGAATTACTAAAGATAGTTTATATTCTCTTTTAGAGATGAGAATTGTATTTTAAGTCGTGTAAATGATGAAACAAGAGCTATAAATAATAATATTTTTGACGGTCCATCATTTGGTCTTGATCTATATTTATGTTGTGGCAGGAAAATCTTTTGTAAGCAACATAATTATGAAAAGCAGATCAAAATCGACAATGATGATGCATTACTTTTAGATTTTTTCGAGGTATTTCAATTATGCAGGGTTAATGATTGAATCCTCTAAGTCCAATATTTTCATAATTTAATACATGATTAGTTGAATCAGTAGCAAAATAAGCTAGATTGAACGTAAGCCTTATTTCTATTTCATTTTAATATCATTAAAGCTTCCGGTCGAATCATATTTGTAGCTCATGAAAAAAACATTAAAATAAATTAAAAATAAAGGTAAATTCGCTTGTCTAGTAGTTTAGATTTTGAAACTGAGTGTGTTGATCTTAAACACGAAAACTCATTAAGACAATCATAGAAAATTGCCGAGTTTAAGGGGCTAGAACAACGTAATAATTAATATTTTATTCCTAATCTCCGATGCCAACATAAAAGGCTGCGTTTTTTACGAGGGTTGCGTAGAATAATAAATTCCCTTAAGTCTTAACTTTATGACATACATTTTTTAAATTTATATTGATTTAATAATAAAAATTATTTTTATTAAAATTGGTATAATTTATCTGTAAAGGGTTATACATAATAATGTATGTGCTATACGCCTATACCGCTAGTAAATTATATATTTACCACTAATATATGATTTGAACTTGAATATCTTTATTTTCAATTATTATTAGAATTTGAATTAAATCTCAAGACTACAATGGTTGTTATAAAATTTTGTTTGGATATTCATTACATTTTACCACATTCAATCAATCATTGAAATACCTCTAATCATTTTAAAGAATGTATCAATTCTATTAATTCTCCATCGTAAGATCTTCATTCTCTATATGAAACAAAATATAAGTTTCAGCGTAAATTTAATGAGATTATATCTTCTAAAAATTCTGTTGCTACCATAACCTTAATCCCGTTAAAAAATCTAAGAAATCCATTAGATTAATCGCGAAAATAAATGTATGTTAATTTCTTAAAATTATAGTAATAAATTTATTAATCAAAATTTTATATAACATTTTCTCGTAGGGATTAATATTTGAATATTTGAATTGATCGTGTGAATTTTATGTATTTATCCCTAATGCCGACATATCATTGCTTGTATACGAGTTGAGTAACGTAAAACATTAGCCCTGTTCATTTCCGGTCGGTTGCATTTTTCGGTCGGATTTTGTTGTACAAAAATTATTCAACAAAATTTTTTTATTTTCGATCACAAATTGAACTGCTTTAGATTGAAATTTAGTTCGAACTCCTTATATTGATATATATTTTTTTCTTAAATGTCACGTAAACAGAAATTATCTAATTTTGGTTCCAATCAAAATTAACTTAAATCTGACCGAAAAATGCGACCGACCAGAAATGAACAGGGCTATTAATACTTATTAGTATCCTACAGCCGAATAGAATCATGCTTTTTTCATCGTGCTGATATTTTTTATTAACTAACTATAAATAAACTACAGTTGCACAATTATTATTGATATTTTTGCATATACAAATAACATGTAAGAGGCAAAAGAACACGTCGCGTTAAACTGGAAATAGTTTAATCGATAGTTTATCGTATTCAGTTATAAGCCATGATCATAGGCAGCTGCAGGATAATACAGTTATTTGATAGGAGGGCTAAAATATCATCCGAACTTCGGCCCATCTGATATACCTTAGCGATCATTAACTTCTTTGAACACGTAATCGTGATTGGCTAATTAATTTACTTTATGGAGATAATTTTTAACCGATTAATGGATAAATAAGCTACCTTGTATCCGTAAAAGAAAATATTAAAGCTTGAAAATAAAGACTTGAAATTAATTTTTTTAAACTCACATCCTTTTATAATGGTTGATAATAAACTTTTGCCGAAGTTATCGCAAAATTTACTTGAGATTTTAGATGACGAAGAATATTATGATATTATAATTGAAGTTGGTAACGATCCTTATGTAAAAATATTTCATGCACATATGAATATTTTGAATTATCGTTCTCCTTATTTAAGAAGAATTTTATCAACAAATAAAAAGAAAAATGACGGAACTTTGACAAACATTAAATTACCAAATATTTTACCCGAAATTTTTCAAATAGTCTTAAGGTAAGATAAATACTAAGTAAAACAATAAAATCTTGTCATTTGAAAATTATATTTTTTTTTAATAACTTTTTAATTATTTTAGGTATATTTATGGAGGAAAACTCTCATTAGAAGAATATGATATTTCAGATATCATTAAAATCTTAGTTGCTGCTAATGAGCTCGGCCTTCAAGAATTAATCCCTTATTTAGAATCCTTTTTAATTGAAAATAAGAAAAATTGGATTGAACAAAATATCAATTTGATATATCAAACTAGTTTTGGAAACAATTCTTTCTTAAAACTTCAAAAATATTGTACTAACTTAATTATTAAAGAACCAAATAAGATATTTAATTCGTCGAATTTCTCTTTAATTCCAGAAAAATTATTAATCACGCTTATTCAAAATCATAAAATGAGTGAAATTCAAGTTTGGGAGCATGTAATTAAATGGGGATTTGCGCAAAATCCGGAACTTTCTTCTGATCCTACAAGCTTTTCAAAAGACGATTTTAATACTTTAAAGAATACCTTACAAAAATGTATTCCTTTTATTAAATTTCGTAGATTAACTTCCAAAGAATTTTTGAAGAAAGTAAAACCATATAAAAAAATCTTACCGAAGGAATTATATGATGACCTATTAGAATATTTTTTGGACAATGATTACGATCCAAACAATCGTACTATTAAAGAGATTAAATCAAAAAATATTGATTCTAAAATCATTACAAATAAGCATGTTGAAATAATCTCAAAATGGATTGATAGATTAGAAATTAACGACAAATTAACAAGCTCGTATGAATTCAAGTTATTATATCGTGATTGCAATGATGGATCTTGGAATAGACTTAAAAAATTTCATGAAGTTTGTGATAATCATTCCCAAACTGTAACAATTTTTAAAGTGAAGGACAGAAATGAGATTCTCGGAGGATATAATCCGATTGAATGGAAATCTGATATTAGTTATGGAATTACTAAAGATAGTTTTATATTTTCTTTTAATAACGACGAGAATTACATTTTAAGTCGTGTAATGGATGAAACGAAAGCCATAAATAATAATAATTTTTACGGTCCATCATTTGGTCTTGATCTGAAATTACAATTGCTTTTTAGTGACGGGAAAATCTCTTGTGATAAAAATCATTATGAAAAACCGATCAAAGTTAACAATGATGATTCGTTTATTTTAGATTTTTTTGAGGTATTTCAATTGTGTAAGACTGATGATTAAATAAGTCCTCTAAGTCTAATAGTCTAATTAATTTCTTCATAATTTATTTATAAAATTAGTTTAGAAGTAATATAATCTAGATTGAATTTGTGCCTTATTTCTATATTAATATTTTAACATCGTTAAACGTTCTATGGCGTAAGAAACAATGAAATTATAAATAAAGGCAAAATTGCTTGATACGTAGTTTATATTTTGATGCTGGGAGTGTTAAGCTAGAACAAGACAATATCATATTAGAAAAATGACGAGTTTGAAGAGCTAGATCAATGTGATAACTAACATTTTATGCATAATTTCCGATGTCAACATAAACTAGAGCTGCGTTTTTTGCGCGGGTTGCGTAGAGTAATAAATTCTCTCAATTTATAACATACTTTTTTAAATTTATATTTGATTCAATAATAAAAATATAATTTATCTACAAAAGGTTATGCAAGATATGTGCTATATCCCTATAAAAAAT